TGGTTCTTAAGACTTCCGCTGTGCTGCTTCCCAGCCCACAATGATGATGATGATAATGTGTTGTTGTTGATTACTCGTTGGTTTATTCTTTGCATTGGGCACATTAGCATCTTGTGAATGTTGCATCTATGCTGCCGGTTGTTGCCACTTTCGTCATTGCTAGATCCTAGGCTCTCGGTGCATTTCACTTCCTGATATGCTCTACACATGGTGACCGTGACCCGTGCTTCGACCAGGGCCCTTCATCGGGAAGAATGTCGTCTCTCAAGATAGAGCGCACATGACTCCTTTCCGGAAGAGAGGACACTCAAGTTGGACTCACTTCCTCACGGTAAGAAGAGATTGAGAGGGTAGATAAGGAATGGGAACAACGTACCTGGAGATAGCTGCCCCCAACCACAGATTTCTCACCAATTGGGCCGACGTGCATTTTGATGACCGGTCATTAGCCTCGGTACCACCCACAATGCAATGCAGTGCCACCTCAGCCAAAATGCCACATCAGCATACTCTCATCGTCATGAATACACCTGCTGTCGCCACAGCCTTCCAGCGGCCGGCCTCTCGACCTAGGCCCGGCTAATCAACCAGCGCCAAAGTATCCTTACTGCACATAAAGCATCGCCAGCGCACCAAGTCACAATGTCGCCGGTGCCAGGTAAGCGGCGATCACCAACCAGCTCCGATACCAAATTGCAAGGAATATGAGTGTGAGCGATATACATAAAACCAAGTTGCGAAATCACACAGCTGTCCAAGTAGTCGTGTCCCAAGCAGAGAGTATAAATGCACCGAGAAAACCATCCATATAGAGCAATACAATGAAGTAATGAGCCAATGTTCAAGCCCGTAGGCCACACCAACACAGTATCCAAAGTCGCTCTGCTCTGTCTGGCTTCAGCGCCCAGCCTACTCTACCAGACTATCCTACCTACAGCTGGCTCATGCAACAGGATCACTTCGACTCACAAAGACCAATGTACATGACTGCCAACACCATCGCCGACCTCTCTTCATGTACCAGGTACGTATCTTGTCGCCATCAATCAGACCTTGATTACCCCACACAGCGCCTCCTTCCCTGAAGACCACCTAATCATCCGCTGTACCCCCTGCCTGCGCCTCGCTGCCCTGCCGCTCGGCTATGGCTGCCTATCGCCCAGCAGCTCGGCTATGGCTGCCTGCACCCCGCTGCCCTGACGCGCCCCACTACACCTCTCGCGCCCCTTCAGCGCCCTTGGCAGCAGCGCAGCATCAAGCGAGAGCGCAGCATCAAGTGAGAGCGCAGCAGCACTTCCGCATTACCAGCGCCGGCCAGAATGCCTGGCCTGGGCTGCCTCACTCCTTTTGTGGAAGTGGCAGCCTCCTGGATGCCGCATGTGGCCTGGCTGGAAGCTTCCAGTAGCTTCCGGTTGGGTCCCAGACCCTGCGCCCAGGCCCGAGACTACAGTTGAGGGCCTGAGCCCTTTACAGTTAGGCACGGCCTGAGTCTCTGGACTTGGGCTGTTTGCTGCATCTGTGCAGGGCTCCCAGGCAGGTGCGTCGGCACTACTGCTTTTGCCAAGGCCGAAGGCCTGCTTCCCAATGTATCGGCCCTGCTTTGTGTATGTGTGCCCAGGCGCAACTGTCAAGGCCTGGGCCAACTGTATGACGCAGAAATGTGAGGCTCATGTGTCTACCCAACCAACTGGCGTGCTGCGAGAGCCTGAATACCCACATATGGAAATGTTGAATTTTGCCTCTGACGAATATTCAGGCCTGCCTTCACTTAGGGCGGGCACTTTGGCTTGCTGGGGGCCTTAGCCCAGAACAATGTAATGTCTGATAGGGCCCCTTGAGGGAGTGTTCCTCACAAATTGTTTTCTGGTTTTTTTTTTTTTTTTTGTGTGTGTGTGTGTG